TCGTTCCGTGACTCTGGCTGCAACCCGAATTGATCACAACCCGAAGGAAATTTCCCCATAAGGTTCAATGTAATTACCGTTAATCCGTTCTGGTGTGGAGGACAGGGAGGCGGCTATTGCTTGGAGGGAGAGTCCCCCTCCCTACGACCACGTGTCAGGGGCGGAAAATGGCCACGGACCACGTGCCAGGGGTGGAAAAATGGCCAAGGACCATGTGTCAGGGGCAGAAAATGGCCGCGGACCACGTGTCGGGTGGAAAAATGGCTGCGGACCATGTCATGGGAGGGAAAATGGCCGCGTATCCTGCTCGTACCCCGAGGCGGAGTTCACAAACCGAGGTAAATTTTTGCGGCCGGAGCTGGTCGTAACCCGAAAAGTTCGTTAACAGAGGCGTTTGTAACCTCAGGTACCACTGTATAGTAGTCTTTACAAATATAAATTCAGAAAAAGATACATACATACCCCAGCCAATAATGCAGAACTTTAGAATATATTTCCTAACGTATGTATTGAATACTTTCACAAGGGCAAGATACATGTGGAAGGCTTCAAGGCCCATCCAAGTGAAAGAAACCAAAAGGAAATAATGAAGAAACACAGCAACTGAAATGCACAGTCCCTGGATCTCATACAGAGCAATCCAGGAATCCAGAAGAAAAACCAGGTTCAGAAGAAGCAGTGCAATGCATAGCTGGATAAGAATTTTAGATGGATAATCTCTTCGGATTTTCCTATAAACCCAAATAAATGAAATATGTAAGCTGACACCTTTTTTGATGCATTTAATCATGTACAATATGATGCAGACAATATTTATATTTGTTTTAATCTTTGAAACAATAATAGTAGCCTTTCTCAAAAGCCGTTTAAAGACCACAGAAGCATGAGAATACTAGCTGAAATTACAACTTTCTACATTATAGTTATTTTTTTATTTGCATGTCAAGCTGTACAGATGTTTTTCTAATATTGGCAAGCCACCAATTAAAATTGTAATTGCTTATTTTAAGCAGCAAAATATTACTTGAAAATTGCATAAACAGCAAATCTCTATAATATTTTGCTACTGAAATGCAGAAGGAAACCAGAGTGAATAAAGAAACAAGGGACAGGGTTTTCTCCAGGTGAAAAGGTATCAGGTGAGGAAAACCTTGAATAGAACTATGTGAAATCTGTGAAACAGAAATCTGCGCCACCCACTCCATTTGGATTCTGGAATCAAAAATTCTAGGATATATTGATATATTTTTATTATGAAACTAATAGAGAATAGAGAACATCTGTCTGTCTGTCTGTCTGTCTTATATGACATATTGCTCTTTAAGTTTATTTCTCCATTTTTACACCTTCCTGGCTAAATAAAATTGTGTTGTAATCTAGACTTCTTTTACTTTTCAGATATTCTTTATAAAAATTCTCTCTCAGGCTGAACAAAGGTGTCTTCCAATGTCAGAAAGATGCCCTTCTGTTTGCTTATATCTGTATTCATTATTCAAGCTACAACAAATTGCTAGTATATAATTTAGCATAGCCAAGTACTTACTCAAATGCAATATAGGTAACAAGAGTCACAGAAAGAAAAATAGCTGAAAGTCCACAACCTATGTAGGTGATGAAAGTTAGAATTAGCACTTGAATTGGAGGTATAGTGGTGTTTCTTGATAAATCCTAAAAAGAAACAGAAATATTGTTAAAAATTTAAAAAGAAGTAAGGTCTGATTGTTTAAATTTTAGCACAATTTGTCGGTATACACAGCTATACACATAGAGTGTGTATGTATGCTTGTGTGTGTATCTATTATGTGAGGCACCCATAGTTACAAATGTGAGATGGGCAGTCTACAAACTGAACAAACACACACACACATTTAGATATAAATTTGAACCATTCCCTCTGCCTGCCTCGTATTCATGAATCCAGAAGCTTCATATTTTTAATCTGTACTATAACCAGTGCCCTGTGAACCTTGAAGTAAGTTGCTTTTTCTTCCCTTCCATCCCACATTACAGCCAGTGTGAAAACTCAGGGACACACCAAGCTCTGTGCAGCTTTTGCTCAGGTAGTACAAACATTACCAGTAATACACCAAAACTTGTCAGGTGGTTGCAGCTACAGATGGTCTCATTCACTGTTCTTTCTTTAACCACACAACCCTCAGAGTTCCAACTGCCTTGGCTACCTGCCAAATATCAAATGCTTCCATTACCAAATTGTAAGCAATATCGTTTTTAACTAGCACAGTTAACATAAATAAAGTCACATGATTGTGAAACCATACCATTTTCACTGGAATCCCAGAAGGCACATCTAACAGTCAAATTCTCCTGTTTGGAACAGAAAAAAAATAAGCTCAGCTACATACCTCATAATCCATATACTAAAAAAACCCTTAAATGTAGGCACACCTATCACGTCAGACTGCTCATGTAGGGCTATAAGGAGTTGTAAAACAAATCACAGAAACTGCCTGCAGAGTTCACTTAGTGAGTCATCTGAACCAGAACCCTAGTTTTTACAAATGGAAAGTACTAAACACAAATCATGAGGAACTGAGTGTGTAGGAATATTCTGGGCACTTATTTGTCAAAACGTGCAAAGCATCAAGCAGCTTTTGCAGCCTACACAAGAATGCTTATAGATCTCTATTTAGTAATGCAAAGAAAAAATAGGGGAAATGGACCTTTTTTATTATTAATATAAATACGGATATGCATCCTCCATTCAAAGGTATCACCTACAGATATGTCAGAATGACAACATAATTAGGAGGTAAAATTATACACAAAATTAAGATTATTCAGATAGATTAAAAAGACTACCTAAACATTCAGGTAGTTAAAATGATTAATTTATGAAATGAAGCATAGGAAAATAAAATACAATTAAACTTACCTGATTAGGCCTGATGTTTTGTAGCATGACAGTCACATTTGTCTTCAAGTTGCTGACTGAAAGATTAGCAATACTTGACGATATAACATAGCTGAACAAAGATAAATTTTTCATTGCAGGGTCCTGTGAAATGCAGCCACGTATATTCTTATTAATTAATTGTAATAATGTTGATTGATAGAAACAATAGATTACATTTAAAAATTCCATGCATGTTTTCAAACTATAAAAGTACCTGGAATAGAGTTGTTTTTTTAAAAAAGTTAAATGTAATTCTAGAAGCTATATGCTTATCTTGAGGTGACAAGTCTGCCATTATTGATGATGGAAGTGTAATGGCTCCAATACGCTTTGATGGCACTTCAGTTCCAAGAGTAGCCTTTTTTAAAAAAAACAAACAAAAAACCAAAATTGTTTCCAAAAAATAATGAATCCATAGACTTTGAGCTACATATAATAGAGCAATACTAATTAAGGCAACAGAGAGAAGCATCCATTCTTGAGGCACAGAAAGCAATTTTCTCTTCAGGCCCTTTCAATTTAGCTCGCAGAACATTTATAAATAAACAACAGATGTCATTCATATTACCTAAGTTGAAGCCCTACTTCTGTTCATAATAAAACATCTATAGTTTCCTATAGACAAAAAGTGCACCATTATTATTCTTTGGGGGAAAAAACAGCTAGGGCTGGCTAAGCAGTCACACAGGATGCATGCACAATAAAGGAATCAATTATACCACTTGCATCAGATTATACAGTGCATTTCAAAAGCTGATCCTATACATCATTTAATTTTTTAAAAAGCCAACTTAATTCAGTGGGGTTTGTTTCTGAGGAGGCTTGCATAAAATGCTTAATCAAAGAAAAAAGATTGTACAAAGCTAAATCTAAACCAGTCTTGTATTTACCTGCTCTTTTTGTACATCTTTAGCTTTTGGATCTATTAACAAATTACATACTCAAATTTATATTTTAAAGAGTTTTACTGAAAACCTAAGAGAAATAAACAATGAAAATAAATATGGCTTACCTCAAGGTCTGAGGAATGTTGAACAGCAAAAGAAACTTCTCTAAAAGAGCTGCTGTTGACTTTCAGGACAGCCAGAACCAAAGTAGGAGTGGTAAAATTAATGGACTTTGTTGAGAAGTTCAATTTTAATCCAATAAGATCCACTATTTTTATTATTCTGTTGAGGTAACAATATAGATCATTAGTTGTATGACTTCCATTGTTATCAGTTTTAAAAAAGTATAACAACTACATGAAAACTAGCCTCAGTTGAATTACATTAAAGTACAAACATGTTGATAAAAATTATTACTGCAAGAAGTTACATTTCTTGAGAAAAATGCAGTGTTTTTCATTTACATCATCTCAAGAGGTAATGTAAAATATATTTGGAAACCTACAATGAAAAATTATATTTTGAAGGTTTTAAAAAGTACCACAGGTAACCTGTAAACACAAAACATTGATTTCAAGAAGATGATTTTATACAGACATATGAAATATAAAACAAAGCAGTTCTAAAAGCATACAGAACTGTATTTGAATAAACAGCACAAAATGTTCCTTATATTATAGAGACATACCTTTTAGACATTGGATATATTTGTGATTGGGGCATGCTTAGAAGGAAACTAACCCTTTCTAGCATTGACTGTCCAAGAGATGGTGTTATTGTGCCCGCAGTTAAGTTGTCTTCAAGCTCAGAAACAATATTTTCTACATTGGGAGCATCGGTACTATTGGTAATGCCCGAATTATTATGAGAGATTTGCTCTGCAAAAGATAGGGAAAAAGCATTATTTTTAAACGTAAGACTGAAAATCAAGAAAATGAAGTATTCCATGAATATTTTGGCTTTTTTGCTTCATTATTTGAATAAAAGAAATTGAAGCTATTTAATGGTATTTTGCCCATGCCAAAGTATTATAGATGTTTTGCTTTATTTATGCAGCCCTTTGAATACATTGCTTTGATTCGCCATAGAACCTGATTCACACATATCTTTTGTGGCATGAGTGTAGTGGCAGCCAAAGGCAGTTCAATTAATAAATCACTACTGGATGGAAGACAGAAACAGAGGAGAAAAGACTTAGAGGCCCCCTAAAGCAAAAATGAAGATGGTTCAGTGAACTGCTGCTCCTGCTGAAATCAACAATTGATGCTTTCTCTAAAGTGAGTGTATAGCTAATGATAGCACACTTGCACAATGTTGCCCCATTTTTTTCCCCCAATAGAAATAAGATTAGGAATTCTGTCAGACAATGGTAATCAACGATTTTATCAAGCAAATGTTCTTATCAGCTATGGTACATGTTATGATTGTAGATATTTATGTGGAACAAGTCTGCATGTCAGTTAGAGCAGTGCATGCTTTAAAAATAATTTGGAAGAAGTGTTTCAGACCTTACACAAGCGAAGAATCACTCTAGCATTCATTAAAGCAACTTGACATGAGCCTAAAAAAAAGATGCCACTACTTAACTTTTTTCAGGAAGCCTGAAAAAAGTTGACCTGTTTTTCTGAATAGCACAGAACTGTGCTCGTGTGAAATTGAAAACACTTTCAATTCATTTTTGAAGGGTGCACACCCTAATATTTCCACATACTCATCAAACTACATGCATATATCAGGGTCATGATAGAAGACCCATTTAAATTAATGTTACCTGTGCTTATTTTACTTGGTCCTCCAAGGTCAGTAGTGCAGATCACAGAAGACGTGGACATGATGGCCGAAGAAACTGATGTTGTATGTTGAGTAAGAACTGTAGTATGAGATATTGTAGACTTTGTGGGATATATTTCCGGAAAAGTAGTAGTAGCATGAGATATTGTAGACTTTGTGGGATATATTTCTGGAAAAGTAGTAGTAGGCTGGGAAGATGATGTTGTGAAGTCTGAATTATTAGTTTCAAGTGAAGTTGAAGGAACAAGCGTATTGGTTGACTTTGTAAGAGATACAGAAGAAAGCAGTGTATTTTGCTCAGTGAAAGGATTCTGAGTAGCATATATATTAGAAATATTTATTGTTGCAGGCTCAGTGAAAGGAGGCAGCAAAACAGTTGTTGATTCAGAGGAAGAGGTTTCATGCTGCATTGTAACAGAGAAAGGACCTACAGATGAAACTGGAGAGTCAGGAGTGCTATGGCCAGTGCAGGCAACTGGTTCATTATTATCACTATAGGAAAAACAGAAGATAATATCAGCATTGGTTTAATAGCAGCTTATACTTTGAAAAGGATAAAGAAAAATCCAAATCTTTATCTACCCCATCTCTCTAAAGAATAATAATGATTATGATTATTATATCAGGGCATACATTGTTCTTTTATGCTTTTATTATTTTTACTATTTTTAATGTATGCTGCAGAGTCTTATGGAGTTGGACAGCCTTCTAAAGTTTTTTAAAAATGGTATGTTTATGATTAAAGTAATCTAAGAGCCTATTTTTGCATGCCTCCACTAGTATGCTTTACTATATTTAATCATTAATAATTCTTATGTCAAGGGGTTTCTTCAGTAAAAATATATGCTAAAGGTAAAATCACATTCAGATTAAGCATATTCACAGCATTTGGATACAGGTGGTCCTCGGTTAATGACCACTTGTTCAGTGACCATTCAAACTTACGATAGTGTTGAATGAGTGGTATTTATGACCGATCCCCTGCAGTTAAGTGATCACAATTTGGGTGCTTGGCAACCGGCCCAGATTTCTGCCCGTCGCAGCATCCCACAGTCACATGATCACAATTTGGTACTTTTCCTGCCGGCTTCCCACAAGCAAAGTCAATGGGGAAGCCAGCAGGAAGTCCGAAGTTGTGAACATGTGAGGTCCTTGCTTAACCTGCGGTGATTCACTTAATAACAGTAACCAGGGACTGAAGGAACTGTTGCTGCTAAGCGGTGCAGTCACATGATGTCATGCTTTACAACCACATAGCTTAGCAATGGAAATTCCGGTCCAATTACCGTTGTTGAGCAAGGTAGCTGAACTACCTGTACAACCCTTCCCCAGACCTTACGGATGGATCTTGAAACAGGGAGTATCATATAACAATGTTATGAAACACAAAAAGTCTGCGTTTACCATCCATATCCCATCCTTATACTGCATTTCTTTTCTGCATGATGTAGGAGGTGATACAGGAAACATGCCCAGACTTTCCTCTCTCACATATGCTCTGGAGTGATACATTGCTTTCAAGTCATCTTATGTATATGTTCCAAGGAAAAGGGAAAAGAAAAGCACCCATCCTAACAAGGATTCTCCTTTTGAGTGTTCCTGTTGTGTTCTGCCAGCCTAATGTAGCTGAAGTGGTTTTATTTCTTTCAGTACTTTCATTCTAAGTGACCAAGGATTCAGATTGGTAAAATACTATATTTTAAACTATTAGGACTCGCAAAATATCCTGTCATCATACTAAGTCCTCTCATGTGCACTTTCAAAATTATGTTAAATATGCAATCGACTATTTTATGCTTGATTTCGTTTTAGAATAGCAGTGACATAGGACTGGCTCTTGGAGAAGAAATTATCTCACCTTTGTCCCATCATTGGTCCATAAGAGTTTATGCTCCCTTTTCTATTTTCCCTTCTCATTCCTGAGGGTTATGGTGTAACCAAATAAGGAGCATGACAAGTACACTCCAAACTTTCTAAATTAAGCAGGTGACTCTTACCACTGAAGATGCTGCAACTCTTTGGCAGTCGGACAAGAGAAAGTCTGCGTGGGTAAACAGCAGCATGATTCTATAAACAACAAAGACAATTATATGCACATATCATATTAATATTAATTAGGAGATTACTGTGAAGGCTGTTAAATTATTTGATGGAACTGACTTTTGTTTGTCCTATAAAGCGTTAGTCTTACATAGGTTCATTACACAATCACACTGCATTCCATTCACGGAACTTCACAATGAAATACCTCATTTAGAACTGTATAACTGTCATATCATCTAATATCTAATAACAGTTACTGACATGATTAGCCTTCAAGGTGCATTAGTTGTGCTATCTGCAGTATATAATTATCATTCCTCCACTGTTATTTACTGTGCCCACTGTTATATCAGTACTCATGATAAACTTTGCCTTCACTGATTTGAATCAAATGATGTCAACATCATGTAGACATCCAATCCACATGTTTAATGCACAGGTTTGCAAGAGGAAAGCATTCAGCAATAGATGGGCTGTCTTCCATTTGACTCAGGGCTCTTACACCTTATGCATACAGCAGTACGCATGAAGACCTTTATCCTGCTGACATCTGTACTGAACCTGCAGGTATCTTCAGAATATGACATCATTCAAATGGTGTCAATGGACAATGGGGTTATCTCTATTACCAGGAGAGATCAAAGAGTGAATATTTCAATTGGTGTCATGCCTGAATAAAGCAAATTTCTCACTAAAGAGTAGGCCTGTGCAAATCATTCAACAAACAAAGCACCCCTCTGGATCCACTCCTTGCAGACATGAAAGATTACAGCCATTTGAAGGCTTGGTCCAGCTGCCTAAAACTCCTTGAAACAGCTGGGTGGCTTTGCCCACAGGTGCTGTGCTTTCCTGAGTGGTTTATACAGAACTACTAAACAGCACCACAAGTACCTATTTGTACAATTTGACATACAAGGCAACAATGGCTTTTACATTTTAAAATATTATTTATAACTAAAAGAACTTAAAAACTATCTGATATGCAATCTTGAAATAAAAATCCTGGGTTGGGAGTCTTCTGATAGCATTTTTGTCATCTCAATTTCAAGGATTAGAACAGATAAAACATGCAGTCATCATTATCAAGTAGCTCTACAGCAAAACTATATTCACATCTTCTTACCGATTCGCTTCATTTCTGCTTTTTCTCCTAAATTTGATAATATGTTGCTTATATTCACTTGTTTGTCCAGTTTTATTATAAAAATACAGTTGAATAAACTGCAATGACAAAAAAAAGTATATGATTCTTAGAATTTTTTCAAAGCATTGAAACTATTAATATACTGCTTCTGATTAAAAGTCCCAGTTTTCTTAATACAAATAAAGGAACAATATTGGAAGGAATATAATAATAATTTTAGAATAACAAACCTCTGATTTATTTCACTACATTGCATGAGAGATGACTGTAAGAGAACAAAATAAAATGAAAATAAATTATTTGGCTACACTAAGATATGCATTCTGTCATTTAAAATATAATATTTACACCTATCCATATAATTATAGTAATATGCTATAGGTTACTTACCTGACTTATCTTCTGAAGTGTTTTATTGAAATCTGAAATACTAAAAGACGTTTTTAGTTGCTTGATCAGAAGCTCCCAGTTTCATTTTCACTAACAAACAGGATCTAAGCTAATTAAGTTTTATCAATTTCTCTGAACATGCAATCCTACCACCCCCATATGCCATCCATTTCAAGAAATCCCCCCAATTTCCACAGCCAGTAACTGCATTGGGACTGTAAAAATCTCACTGAACAAGTGAAGTGCCACTTGCAGAATGCTAATTCAACTAGCATAATTGTGTTTATATATATATTGTAAGAAAACAGCCTACAAAACTTTAAATTAAACCTTATCAATATTTGTAATCGTTAAGATTTATATGATTTTATAACCTGAGGGCAAAATCTTGTGCCCCTAATGCCACATAAGATTTCTCAAGGAAGCCACTTTCCTATTTATTGCAATCTATAGTCAGCAAGTTTGCTGCAGACAAAATGGTGGCTAAACACTTGAGACACACTATCTTTTCACTCCGGACTTGCCCTTTTTAGCTTTGGCCATGTTTTTCCTCTCCCCCGTCTGCATTCCAACAGATTCTACAAGATCTGTGAGTCCCGAAACCAAAAAGTATGCATGCTTGAAAATACAGTATATATTTATATGTACTGAGGATTGTGACACCCATTCATTTTGGCATGCTACAGCACTATATCCTAAAGCATCTGATATATTGATTACATGCTAAGAGGCCTTAATAGATGGAAATCTGCTTTCATTTCCTTAAAGAGTCTCTCCTGTGTAAACCCATTTATATAGTAGCACAACAGGTGGACAATAGACTGTGCCTTTATAGTTCATAAAGTGTCCTTAGTTGCTAGATAATTCTTGATTGGGCAAAGCAACAGTCAGTTTTCCCAGTGAGGCTGGCTTTCAATTATCTCCATTTTCTACAAAATGAAAGACAAGGTTCAGAGAGAAATGGAGGAGATGTTAGTAAGAGTAACAAGGAGGAATGATCAGCCTCTAAATATCCAAAATCTAGAGACAAAGATCATCTGCCTCCAACTATAATGAACTCTGAACCTGTGCTGAAACTCAAGATCTTGTATAAGGAATTAATAAGTAGCTCCTTTAATTACTTTAGTACAGATTTAGTACAGATTCATTTGGTAATCTCTGTGTGTAGTTACTGCCTTCCCTCATTTATACTATATTTCACTTTTTCCAATAAATTCATTTTTAAATGTAGAAATGTTGCTTGTTTTAATATGGGAAATACTCTTTACAGTAAAACGAGAAGACTGCTGCATCTTGCATTTCAGGATTGATGCAAAGTTTGCTGGGTCCTATAATTCTGCGCTATGGGCAATGAAATCCAGAGATCTTTCTGCCTAGTTCTCCTACTGCTGGGCTAAAGATGGAAGTCCAGCTGGAGAGGCTGAGTGACAGGAGGTTTGGTCTACCCGGTGGCACCTTATTGGAATTATCTGGACTCTGTCAGGGATGGTTTAAATTATTGCCCCTCCTCACTTGAAAAAGCAACATATGATTGTTGACAAAGGTTACTGCTAGCAAAATCAAATATGCAATGTAAATAGTTAATTACGTATTTTACTATCCTTACATCTTTCATGTATGAGCAGGGATATTTGCCTATGTAGAAAGCCAAACCAAAGCATTTAATTTCTATTGTGGATAGTGTGTGACAAATGGCTCCAACTTTTGTTGATGAGAGTAGAAGAGATTGTTTCTCAAGTATTGCTCCATCCTTAAATCAGACATGTGTACTTGTTTCAAAGTGAATTCCATTACACTGTTTTGTTTTTATTGCAACTACAATATTGTAAGAGAAGAGGAAATACTTTTACTTGGAGTCCAGAATTCCATAACATTGTTTAAAAATAAGATTTTAAAAAGGAATTACTCGAGGAAGAACTTTGCCCTCATTTACCATTTAGCCATTTACCAGGCTGAAAGGGAACAAGGGAAAATGGGAAAATGGACAGGCCCAAATTTAGGAAAACTAACATCCTTCCATGATTCAGGAAAAGTAGGCTAGGATACCCAGTACGTTTTTTTAAAGGTTAAATATGGACCAGTAATTAAATATGTGGACATTGCGTAGTAGTTCCAAAAGAAATTAGAAAAGAAGTACCATTCAGTGAAAAATGGCTTATAAATACATACAACAACAACAACAAACCAACCAAATGCATATAAATGTATGGTGAATAACTGTATGGAACACTGCATATTAGCCCTGCTGATTTCACTGCAAGCAAACCAACATCCTTGGGTGGTAATCTTATATTCACTAAGGAATTGTTGCTGAATAGACATGTAAGGGTTTGCTGTGGAAATTAATCTGTATGTATGTAAATAGCTTATAGATAGTGATCAATTTCAGAGCTTTTTCTTTCAAATGTATTAAAACACAAAAGTGTTTGAAATATGACTTGCATGGAAAAGTGGTAAGAAAAAAATATCTATTTTTTTTAAGTACTCACTTTATTTCTGGCAGTAGGGTTGAATAAACCTTTAACTGGTACTGATTAGTGTTATTGCCAGGATATTTCTAAAAAATAATAAAAAACTCATAAATACATTATATTCTTATATATTTTCTGTCTTCCATTAAAGAGAGCATAATGGGCATAGCAGTATAAAATGGCCTGTAATTATTATTATAGCAATAAAGCATGTACTGTGAATGAAACCTAACAAAACTTTAATTACAGAAGGAGTAAATTATAATGGACAGCAATTATTCCATTCCAGGGGACCAAGTAGAGGTAAGTTTATTTTCTCTACCATTTATCACTTATTTCATGCCTGCGCAGTTAATGTCAACTGTGACTCTTTCAATCATGTAACATTAGGATTGTGACAATGGTTAATAACCATAATACAAAGAATGAAACTCAAGTTTGATCACAAAATAACAATAATAATGACTTACTACTGTTAGATTATATGAAGTATCTGAACTGTTTTCACGAATTCGAAATTTCATACTGCCCATGTAGAAAACTGGAAAAGAAGGGAGAAAAAAGTTTCGCATTAGAAATAGCTTGGTTTAGAAAAATAAGAGAGCATATATTTTCTCTTCTATTCTTTAGCTTCCTTGTGTGATTATACACTGATATTCTGTCCTTTACATAGAAAGAAAGATTGAGGATAAATACTTCTGTATGGTATTTGGCCTTGTTTAGTTATATGACAAACAAACCATAGTCTGTTATTACAAGAACCAGCTCGCATGAGCCCATATCCTCCTTTCTACATTTTCTGTGCTCCTGCAAGGCAACAGAGACCTTTAACTCTAAAACAGACCTGAATCCAAACAACACAATAGGAGTCCAGTAAAATAATCTGCTATCAAGTAAAAAAAGTTAAAATAAACAGGAAAAATCACTAACCTGAGTTTTTACAGTAATCTGATAACTTACACACGTTGTTATATAAAATGTTTGTTCCTACAAAACAAAACAAAACAGGAGTTTGCATTTTAATATAACTGGTACACTTTTCCTAACTTAACATGGATTCCTAGCATGGAATCAAAATATGAGTATTGCATTTTTTTTATTTTAAAAAATGAGCTGGGTCCAATATTACAAATCCAGCTAAATGTATTGATTCCATTAAGACTTTAAATATTCAAAAGAATGAAATTGCTTACACAAAAAATGATAGCAACAGAAAACAGAGGGGGGAAATCATGGTATCTTGGCTTACAAAGTAGTCTTTAGATTGAAGATTCTTATTTATTACAGAATAACATGAGCATGCTAGATGTAAAATTGGGCTTTAGTTATGCTTGTAAATTTTGGCCAAAATGTGCTAAAATTGAGTTTAGCAGGGAATGTTTCATATAGCATGGGACAACTAAGACTAATAACCTAGTCAACTTTTTTTTTAATAACTAAAAAGCATTAGCCTCAGTTAGCAGAAGCCTTTATGGGCATTGGAAGTCAATATTTATGGGCCCATCTGCTGATGACATATGAAAGATTGCAATTTAGAATGTAACAGGAACATACAGTAAATATCATGAATTAATGACATGAGCTTAAAATGAAATAAACTATAGACAGACAGGCATAGAGGTAGAAAATGTTGTTTCTGAAACTAAGAGATAGCAGAAGAATGAAATAGAACTAAATGGTGGTATTGATCTTGTAGAGCAGAGCTGGCAGATACATGCCTGGAAGTAAGTGTATGATTAATTCCAAATAAAAGGGATAAAATATGCATTACAAAGAATGAATTGGTGTTTGTTTTGAACATATTTTAAGTCTGTCTATTCATACACTCATATGCAAAGGAATTAATCTAATAGCATGATTGATTTAACTGTTTATGATGAAAAATCAAAAGAATTAATAAAGGAGAATAATTATGAGAAGTTCTGAATACGGGACAGACCTTTATCTGGTAGCATGAAAAGTGGATCTTGGGAGAAAATGGACATGAAATAAAAGTAGCATGAATGTAGAATCACTGCAGAATGATAAAGTACAAGTTCATATTTAAAAGTATTAGGAGACAGAAAAATCCCTCGACAGAAAAAAATTGAAAATGAAACTAAGGAAAGGTTATATGGAAGTTCCTTGGAAAAGAGTTAAAAGAATTTTGTTATAAAGAGCTCACAGAAGTGTATTAATGTAAAGTATATTTGTATTAATACAAGATAGAGGAAGCAAGTATTTGTTTAGCCCAAAGCCCTCACAATCAATGGGAAGTATGAAAAAGATGCTTGGTGGAATGATGAAATGAAAGAGGCTGTGGATGAGGAAAACTGTATGTAAGAAAATGATTACAACAAAAAATGAGAATTAAGAAGAAAATATTGCATAATATGATGGAGAAAAATATAGTTGCAAAGAATGTAGTCAAAGAGGATAAGGACTGGTTAAGAATAAAAGAGGCAGAGAAAATACAGTGATTTTTAATGGAAATGAATATTTTGAGGGGAAGTAGATGAAAAGAGCTAAAGATTCTGCTTTAATTGGATATGATAATTCTAAACAATCCAATGCAGTAACTAACAAAGATGCATTTTTCTAACTTGGTGTGCGGGCTATAGTCACAAATGCCTGAAAGAATTGTTTTAACTTGATTGGTTCCGGCTAAGGTTATTTAGGATTACATGCAGGTTCAGACAGAGGGCCTTCTGAAGGACTCTTTGCCTTCTCCCTTCCCCATTCCCTGGGACAAAGAACTGCATTAAAATGATTGGTTATGTGCAAAAGTTTTAGGCAGGTATGAAAAAATGCTGTAATGTAAGAATACTTTCAAAAATATATACTGTAATTGTTTATGTTTATCAATGTACAAAATGCAAAGTGAGAGAACAGAAGAGAAATCCAAATCAAATCAATATTTCGTGTGACCACCTTTTGCCTTCAAAACAGCATCAGTTCTTCTAGGTACACTTGCACACCATTTTTGAAGGAACTTGGCAGGTAGGTTGTTCCAAACATCGTGGAGAACTAACCACAGATCTCCTGTGGATGCAGGCTGCCTCAAATCCTTCTGTCTCTTCATGGAATCCCAGACAGACTCGAAGATCAGGGTTCTGTGGGGGCCAAACCATCACTTCCAGGACTCCTTGTTCTTCTTGACACTGAAGATAGTT